ATGGTTGGGACAGGAGGAGGCGGGCAAAAAAGTGTTTATTTCATGCCCGGACAAGTTGCTGGTACAAGAATGTCTTAGAAGTATTGGGTGGTAGTACAGGCGGATCTATAGCCCTTGAAATGCCGCTTTAACGGGTAAAAGACGCTTACAATTATCTAGCAACATATAATCTCACCATCATTTTATGAAATCCGTCAACAAAGTTGTGCTGTATTAAGAACTTTGGGATGAAAATGAACTGAAACATTTTAAAATGACAGCTTTCGTGCCTGTTCTATATTAACATCATTCATTAATCATTTAAATGAAGTATAAACATATTTTAATGCTTACAACATACTGTAAGTAATATACAATCGGCGACTAAACATGCTTTTTCATCGTACTCCTAAAACAAGCTTAAATAAGAAATGGTCAATTTAAATGAAAGTAATTTTTATGTACTTTTATTGAAATATACAACGAACCTTTTGCATTATAAAATATTATTATATAATTAGAGGTGAACACTTAGTATGTGTTACTCGTAAGAAAAACGAAAAACGTTTTCTGATTTCAATATTTTTCGTTGTCGTTTCATTTTACTTAATGGTAGACTTAGAGATTTCTATTTTGACCTCTGGAAAAGATTAATGGAATAAGGGAATGAGTTGTGGACAAGAATCTTGTAGCTTTTTTCAAAGATAAGCAATGGATTGAATCACCAATCAAATAGTCCTGCAAATGGCTGGCAGGGGTCAGTAAACAGATGAATGGTTTGGGCTCTTATGAAAATGTCTTAATGAAATGTAATGTACTGACACAGACCATTTGAACCTTACAAAAAATATCTGTTCCGAATGTTCTCTAAACGAATTCAAAGCATTGCAATATTGACTATTAACTGAGGCCATCACTTTTCCAAATATTAATTCGCCACGTATGAAAGTACAACTTTTATGGGCCAAGAAGCTTAAATGACCTTAAAGGTTTTTTTTTCTCCACCGCAAGTTTGTCTATATTCTGGCAATAATTCATCTAGATGGCAAGAAAGCCAAGATCTAATCATTCCTAAAGGGCGTAAAGATAAAATGGAATGTAAACAGTCCTGAGCCTAATACATCAAGCAGTTATATGTGGATTGACTTTATGTTTTTCGAGATTGCCAAAGCTATTTGCTAGTCTTACGGATTTAGCCAATATTCGAGAAGCAACAGACATGGAAAATTTTCTTCCAGAAAGAAAAATGGAAAAAAAATTCCCGCAGTATGTCCAATCTGGTGCTTCAGTAAATTGGTGGTTTATTTAAGGACTATCTGTGCATGTAAATAGAATGACGAAAAATAAATGTTGAAACCTTGTAAAGCTTTCTGGCTTAGCGTTCAAGAAATTTTAATTTGACGGTAAAATTCATAGACTAAAATTAGCAATAGTGTTGTTTGTTGCCAATACAAACACTTTATGCGCCTATAAAATTACATGAACAAGAAGCTTTTTTAGGAAAAGCTCTATTACTGAATGTGAAATATTGGGGCAAAAGATTTTACAAGAAATGAAGTTGACCGGATCTTGGACCGGAATTAGGAGTTGAAGAATTATTTAAATGTCAGTGAAGAGGATAATAATTAACTAAACATTAATTTTTCTAAATTTATGCAATGTTTTCACTTCACTATCCTGAAATATCTGATGGATTCTGATATGAAATATGACATAAAATAATCCGGATATTATATCAATATTCATTATTTTCCATCACCTTTTACTAGCCGGTAGGAACAATGTGAATTGCTTCATTCATTGAAAATAAACTGCTAATTTTGTTCATATCGGAAAATAAATCGATGATATTGCTGGAGTTTTTTTCTTTTCTTTTTTTTTATAGCTTACTTTTTTAGTGTAAGAGACTTGTTTAATGCAATGATTATATAATATTGATCATTGTCATGTGGGAAGATCAGAGACTAAATTTAGTTTAGATTAGATAGAATATTATTCATTCTAGAAATTTCAAGTAAATCAGGAAGAAATTTTCATGCACTGGTCGACGACTCAGAATATTTGTGTAATGATGACCTAATGATCTAGCTAAATTAATAAATTAAAATGACATTTTTAGAATAGAATAGGCTTGACGTTTCACGAACACATACAAAGTAAAGAATAACGAACGATTTAGGAGAAATGACCGAGTGATATTGATAATTAGGAATGACCGGGTAATATTAATAACTCACTAGTCTTATTTTCAAAATAGTTATTGTTTCAGTTGTCGCTCAAAATGTCAACTTCCAAATCAAGTGGTAGTCTTTTACAACCGTAATTTATAAATTTCGTTAAAATTTCAAAAATTTCGTTGTGCTATAACAATAATTTCAATCGCTAAATAACTTCAACAATTATCAGATAACTTTGAAATAAACGGTCATAATTTAAAAGAGAAAGAGAGAGAGGGAGAGAAAGAAAAATCTTCTATTCTCAGAAAAAATAAATATTTCAGTTGTTATCACAAACAAACCAAGTAAAAAAAGAAGTCACAGATATACAAACACTAAAGTATGTCAGTTCCTTGATATATAAACACTAAATATGTCAACACTAAAGTATGTCACTTCTTGTCAATCCTTTCTTGAAACTTTACTTTGCATATACATATATAACATTTCTGTTGTTTATTGAATATTTAATGATGAAATTGAAATTAAGTATAACAAAATTGTGGATATTTACAATCCATATTACAATTATTTCAAGGAACGTTATGTATGTCAATCTTTTTTTTTTTTTTGTCAAAAAATGAAAACTATGATGCTGAAAAAGAGAGAGGGAAAATGAACAGTAAAATAAGCAATAGATGAATTATTTCAGCCTAAAAAAACAAGAATGGAATTAAAATTAAAATCGAAACTTAAATTCTGAGTGAATAATAATTTAAAAAGAAATTATCATATAAGCAATAAAAACAACAAACGACAGTTTATTTGAATGAAATTGTATTGAAACAAAAATTTTCGCTTTTTTTAGAAAATTTATATGCAACAAAAAAGCAAACAAAGGAAAGGTGGCAAGATTTTGCATATTTATTTCTTATTTTTATTCATATCAAACTTCTTTTTTTTCTTTTATTATTTCTTTGAAGCTCATTATAATAAAATGAATGAACTAATTTCATCAACAATACTTTTAATAATTTCATTAATTATTTCACCGAAAATACTTCCAATTATTTCAAAGAAAAAAGAAATTCTAGAATAAGGGTTCAAAAGTCTTTTGGAAATCCTATATAGCCTAATATCTTACTATTAGCACAATTTTTTTACCTAACAAAAAATCATTAAATTTATTTTTTTACAGAGGAAGAACCAAAGACGATACTTAGTGAAAGCACTTCTGAAAGTGTAAACAAGGTAGAAGGCTTTTTTTTCTTTGGAATAACTCTTCATTTTTGACATTGCAGAATATTTCCTCAAATGAATTAGTTGATAATAATGTATTTGTTGGCCGATATTTCAGATATTTTCAGATATTGGCTAAAAAGTAAGTATCGATTACTTTCGAATAATTTTTCATCAGCAAATAATAAGCAAAGAATATGGAGATGGATGTACTGTAAATAGATTGCTTTTCTTACAGCTAAAAGAAAGTTCAGGAAAAGAAATCTTTTGTTGTCTGAGATGTTTCTCATTGAAGAAAGTTACAAAAGAGACTTATTTAAAACAATGAAACTTTTATTAAATTAGAAATAATGAAAAAAATACACAAATAATACTTTTAAAGGAAATCTTCAAAGGAAGAAAATTATGTTAAGAAAGAAAAAAGAAAGAAGCGAAGAAAAAATGGATAAAAAACCAAGGAAAAAGCTAAGGAGAAAAGCAAAACTAAATCTGACTCAATAAACTTTAAACTTGGTTAATTCATTTTGTTCTTTGATGTCTGTTCAATCATCAAAAATCATGATTTATATATCATCGTATTAACATATCAGATCAAATAACATCAATTATAAATTGTTAGATAACAAATAAATATTTTATTAACAAACAAAACTTTGTGGTTTTCAAGTAGAAATGAAATTAATGACATAAGATGAACTGTTTAAATTGGATGATTATTTAGAGAAATCTGATAAACATTCGACATCTGTCCCTTCTGTTCAAATGATATCGAAGAGAACGGAAGAGAAAAGAAAAACGCAGGAAAACAATAAGTATGAAGGTATATGTTCATGACCCATTCTATTTGTTGACTGTAACTAAGATCAATGTTTATTTATTTACCGGTCACTTATTATAAACAATGATGACTATTTAGAGAAATTGGGTGAACAGGTGATCACTGCTGTTGGAATGGTAAAACCTATGAAGGAGATGAAAGAGAGAACAAAGATGAAGGATTATAATGAGAATTATGAAAGTACATGTTTACCTGTGCATTTGTTTATCGATGTTTGTTTATTTGCTAGTTACGTGACGCAAATTTGATGACCATTCAGCGCATAAGGAATTGTCAGTAACCACTGCCAGAAATGTATCATATAAAAAGGAGGAGAAGGAGAGAAGAAAGACGAAGGATTACAACAAAGACCATGAAAGTACGTATTTACTTGTTTATGTATTTATCTATGTTTATTTGTTTACTTGACATGAATTTGATGACCATTCAGTGAGTGAGGAATCGTCGGTCGCCGCCGCTGGAATTATGTCACCTAAAAAAGAAGAAAAGAGAAAAATGAAGGATAATAAAAATTGTGAGAGTATGTGCTTATTTGTGTATTTATTTGTTCATATTTATTAATTACTTGACCCGAATTTGATGATCATTCGACGAGTGAGGAATCATCGGTGGTCACTGTCGTAATGTCTCTAAAACGGAAGAGAAAGTGAGAAAAAAATGAAATATTATAATAAATATTATGGCACGTATTTAATTGTTCATTAGTTTATTTATATTCTCTTAACAAAAACTTGATGATTATTTAGAGTTTGAAGAATCACCGCTTACCACTGCTAAGATGGTGTCACCTAAGAAGGAGGAGAAGGAGAGAAGAAAGATGAAAGATAACAACAAACATTATGAAAGTAAATGTTTACTTGTCCATTTGTTTATTCATGTTTATATGTTTACTTAACATCAACTTGTTGATTATTTAGAGTTTAAAGAATCATCACCTGCCACTGCTAAGATGGTATCACCTGAAAAGGAGAAGCAAAGAGGGAAGATGGAGAATAACAAAAAAAGTTATGAAAGTACATTTCTACCTGTTCATATGTTTATTCATGTTTAATTATTTACTATTTACTTGACACGAGTTTGTTGATCTTTAGGGTCTGACGAATCATCGGTCACTTCTGAAGAATCATCGGCTGTCACTGCTAGAATGGTATCACCTAAAAAAGAGGAGGAGAGAAGAAAGATGGAAGATTATAATAAAGGCTACGAAAGTATATGTTTACTTGTTGATTTGCTCATCTGTTGATTATGGCAGGACGAATATTTATTTGTTCTCATTTAGAGTATGATGTAACATCAGTTGTCACTGCTGGAATGGTATCACTAGTGGCGCAGAAGGGAGAAGGACGAAAGATGGCGAAAGATAAAAATTATAAAGGTATTTGTTTAGCAGTTTATTAATTACTTGACACAAATAATGATATCTGTCTTTAATAGTTTATCTTAAATGAAAGTTTCTTACTTTTTTGCTTGCAGAAAAAGTTTTAAGTTTGAAGAAGGCTGTTGCGTTTGCTTCATTGCTAACATCTGTTGGCAATGCTAAAACCACTCAATCCTTATCAGTATCATCGGGAAATCCATCGAAATCATTGCCGGTGACAATTCAAAGAAGTAAAAGAATTGCTGAACAAACCACATTTTTAGCCATCAATGAAACTGAAGTGGAGAAAGGCAATGATGAAAATGAGCTAAAAATGGGAGTGGATGAAAGAAAGAGTTGTATGAGTAAACAAAAGGATGTTAATAATGATAATGTTGATGATGATGATGAAAGTATATACTTTTCAACCCGAAGTACGAACGAAATGCATAACCATCAAATTTCGGATGATGAAAGTATTTATTTCATTGTTCCTTAGACAATAAGGAATGATTCAACTATTATTAATACTTATATCCCTTAAATTAGCCAACTATGCCGACAGTTTATTTTTGGAAAAGCTATTATTGGTACTAATATATTTGAATTGGAAATTTACCGAAAATGGTGTTTCAAAAAAAAGTATTAAAAGTTGGAAAATTATTTTTTTGAACACATAAGCATTTCATAAGTGATCATTGATTTACAACAGATTAATAAAAATTTCTTCGTCCATTGTCGGTGACAAGTCATTGATAAATAGGAATTAAATTAAAATAGAACTATAAAATATAACAATGATTATTCAGCCATTTTATGATAAGTAACTCTAAATGATCAATCGACCGATCGGGTAAGTGCTGTTGATCGCTATAGCGGAAGCAGAAGTAATATTTTAGAAAAGCATAATATGTCTTTTATTTTGGTGAATTCCATAAGCTTCCTTCGAATGTTTTATTTTTTATTGGAATGTTTTATTTTTCCTTTTCTAATTTCACTTATAACATCATATGTTTATCATAACATTATTAGTAAAGTTAACTTTAGTTTGTGACAATATTTAAACTTCCTAATAACTATTATTACCATCCTTTACAAATATTTGAAACTTTAAAGCCATTAATGAATATTAATTCTATATGACTGATAGATTTAATTGACAATGTGTTTCACAATAATTAAAATTTATTGCTACCATCAAATAGCTTTTTTGCTAGCGACATTTACGCTATGCTACAATATATCTGTAGAAGAAAAATCAATAAAGTTTATTTAATCATATTATAACATCATACATCATAAAAGTTTGTCAGTAAACAAAACAATCTCAGATGGCTATTGATAAAAAGTTATGCCAAGAATTAGTATCCATTGTTAGCAAATTTATTTAATTTTAAAATTTGCGTCAGTCATTAGTGCTTTTATCGTTTTTAAAAAAAGTGAAAGAACACTAAGACTGCGACACATTTTAATGATATATCACCTTCGTTGGATATATATAACATCAAGAAGTTACAGATATATTATAGCATAACATAAATATTTGATATTTAATATCAAATATATTTAATCATAGGAATAAAAATATTTTGTTCCCTTTTTAACATTCACTTGTGAAATGCTTGGTGCTATTGAAAATATTTAAAACATAAAGTTGAATACCAACTCTCTTTTTTCCTTTCCTTCCACTAGTAAATTTATTTTTCTATCCTATCTTGCCCTTTTTAGGCTAACAATATAGTAGCATATAAATGTAAAATACATTGACTGTGACAAATGAATGTATCCCTCTGCTTTGATATAATCTTTCCCCGTAATTTTTGCTTTATTATATTATCATATCGAATATTGATAATACTTCGCCATTATTATCAATATATTCTTGAATAGAATGAAATGATTTTTTTTAGGTGGGAGGCCTTAAACTTTGATTTAATAAAATGGAAAAATATTTTTTCCATTTCTCGTTTGTTTATGCTTCAATAAAGAAAAAGAAACTCTTCACTGTCTTTTGTCACTCTTTATTATCCCATGATGCCACATATGAGGATTTTTTCCTTAAGAAAATAAATTTTGAGCCATTTTACCATGGTACAAACTATTTTGCTTTTTTATTTTCAATCCTGCCGCGGAAGAGAAGCTTGGATGCCTTTACAAGATTATGAGCTATACTAGTGGTGACATATGCCTCCGGTAAGGTCCTCCCATCAGACAGGTTTGAATTGAAGGATCAGATAAAGTGTGTCCGTGGGCGGGATTGGCTCGCTACCCCCCCCCCCCCCGGAACCATCTCAGGAAAAGGACAACTCTAATTCCAAACCCGGCAGAAGAGCTCGCTTAGCCCTGTAGGGCCATCCACTTAAGAAAAGAATATTCTAATTACCCTATTCCTGAGATTTTGCTGTCACTGTCTAAGCTCGTTAAGTCGTGGCAGATGAACTTTAGGAGTAAGGGGTGAAGACTGTTTCGCGTTTGCTGTGCCTAACCTAAAAAAGCCACTGCGCGAAAGATACATCCTAATTTGTAAGGTCCTGTAGCAATGGGCAGGGGATGAAACAGCAAGTAATAAGATTCAGTAGAAGCCGTAGACCCAATCTCGCATACAGGCAGTTCAGGATATTGATCACTGGAGATTGACTCTGGAGATGACAGCCTTGTTCGACAATATCCTGAATCCTAAGCACCTTTATTCAAGGACAGCACTGCTTGTTCCACATAGAAAGGGGCCTAGAAAAGATGGCTCAACCAAGCTTATCTCCACTCAATTACTAATTGCAACCAACGGTTGAAAAACGAATTGTACATAACCCCCACTATGATGGAGGCGGTCATACAGCAGATGAAAACTAGCAAACAAGGTAGCTAGGGTGATGGAATTCCATTGAAATCTGAAAGTACAGAGGTCAAGCATTCCACGCTAAATTCCAAAAGCTGGCTGAAAACTAGCAAGGTAGCTGGAGTTGATGGAATCCCGCCGAAATCTGAAAGTATGGAGGTCAAGCATTCCACGTTAAATTTCAAGAGCTCGTTGTGTGCTACTGGAAAAAAGGTTATGCTACTCGAACTACACTAGATCTCCGTGATATAGTCATTATCACCACTATAAAAGAAAGGAGAAATCAGTCTACTCAAATTGCCGAGATATTATCTCCCTCCTCTCCATTGCTGGTAGAAGTTAAGAATACTTTTCAATAAATTAGAGCTCGTTATCTCAGAATAACTTTAATCTGAAAGCCAATATGGTTTCAGAGCCAAGAGAAGCATTACAGATACGGTTTTGTTCTCCAACAAAGAGATGTGCACGGAGATCTCCATGTTACCTTCGTAGACCTCACTAAAGCCTTTGACACTGTGAGCAGAAAAGGCCTGTACCAGATCCTGGAAAGATTAGCATATCCCTCAAATTCCTGAAAATTATCACGCTATTACATGATCAACACGGCTACGTCAGATATGGCAATGTCCTCTCAGAGTCTTTCCCAGTAATCAATGAGGTAAAACAAGGTTGCGTTCTCATACCAATTCTCTTCACAATCTGCTTCAGCATGATGCTTCGAAGGCTATGGCAGACCCCAATGAAGAAAACAGCACTTACATCTGATATCGTATGGGTGGAATTTAACCCAAGGTGACCGAAGGCCCGCACTAAGATCCTAACCATCTTGTTTGCGAGCCACTTTTTGCCGACGATGTTACCTTGATCGCTTATATAGAAGCCACTCCACAGAGCTTAACATCCTGCTTTGCAGAGAATACCGAATATCAATTTGAAGACAGAAGTTTTCTATCAACCTATATCTCAGCAAGTTTTTCCATCATTTTCACACCACACAGGCAAATCAGAGCTTTAATCGGCAGTTCAGCTATCTGGGAAGCATCATTTCCTTGGCCTCCAAGATCGACAGAAAGATAGACAATAGGTTATAAAGTCAAGTAGACCTTTGGGGAAACTCGACAAAAGAGTCTGGCGCAATAAACACCTAAAGAGAAGTATGAAGATCGAGTCATTGTACTATCTAAGCTTTTATATGTGTCTGAATCATGAGTCATCTACCGCCACCAGTTGTGACTTCTCGAATGCTTCCATCAGCGCTGCCTTCATGTCTAAACATCCTCTGGTCTAAACCTTTCTACTAATGGACTGCTTACAGTGTACAAATGAATCTTGTTTTATCGATAATTTATGGTGAGTTTTGATGTATTTCTTGAAAACTATTCACGAATATTGTTTATTTTTTTCCTTTTTCCATTGCTTTTCATTTTGTTTTTTAAACTATTTTTTCACTTCAATCTATATCTTATATTCTTCTTTATCATATCTTCTTCTTTTTGTTTTTACTTTTTCTTTTTCTTTTGCAATTTTATATGTTTTCGCTCTAACTTTTTTCTTTTTCTGTGCAATCAATCTGCTTTAATTCATCAAAATAATGCCTTACAGAAGATTAAACTTATGTCATCGTACTGACAGAATGGAAGCAACACGACGTATCAAACTGTGGAAGAATGGGCATCAGGAAAGAGACAAAGAATGGCTCACATACGTGCTGAGAAAACAGAAGAGTGACGTGCAACCAAACTTGAGAATGTACGATTGAGAACATGACGATTGCATTCTGCAGTTTCAGATCTGGTTCGTTCTTAATAAAATGAACGCGAT